TAGGGGTGGGTTTTGTAGATGGTCGTCTCTTCACAGGTGGTTAATTTTGAGACGTGGTCGTCTCTCAAGAAACGACCACCTTAGATGGTCGTCTCTTGAAGAGACGACCACGTTCAAAATGGTCAAAATTTAATAAACCATGCAACGTGGCGCCACGACCACAAGGGATGGTCGTCTCTGACCATCATTTGGTGTTTTAAAACAACCATATTTTAAAAAAAAGTTTCAAAAACTACCATATTTTGAATATTTTTAATTAAATAACAATATTTTTAAAATAAGTTTAATATATAATAATATTAAAAAAAAAACCCGACAATTCTGCCATACATTAATATTACTAGTTTGAAAGTACAACCCGCCGTGATACTATGAATTATTATTTCACATAATCCAATTCCAATCAATGTCGTGTGACAAAAGTATAACATGAAGCCGATGGATTCGAATTCAGGACTTTCTCGTGGGACCTAAACTATTCTCAATTTGGCTTTTAAATACGATATTGGTAGTGTAATTTTAGTTTTTATTCATATTTTAAAAGTGATCAAAATTGGTCTTGGCTTTTAAAATTATAATACAAATTTTATTTAGAATAAAAATTCTTTAATATAACCTTATTATTACATTTTTTAATTATGATTACATTTTAATAAATTTATTGAGTGGAATGTCATTCTAAAATTATAATTAAAAAAATAAGATAAAATAAAAAATAAAATATTTATGACGTTATGATTACATTTTAATTATGATTACATTTTAATAAATTTATTGAATGGAGTGTCCCGTTGAAATTGTAATTAAAAAAATAAGATAAAATATAAAATATAAAAAGTAACTTTTGAAAAATATAGGATTAAAACTAACGTTTCAAAAGTAAATAATAATAATAATAATAATAATAATAATAATATTATTATTATTATTATTATTATTATTTAAGCCTTATATCAATTCGTTGGAGTCCTAACCATTCCATCATCAATTTGTTGTGAAAGCGAATGCCACGAAAAAAGCACTTTTTTTTTCATCCTATTAGAAAGGTCATGGCTTTTGTGCACGTAACAGTGAGGGAAATTTTCAAAACATCTTCCAAAACTATTAAGAAGGGGTAAATTTATACTTTCTAACCCAAGCTTTAAATCTCGATGTCTATGAAAATGTTGAAATAGAAATATCGATAAAATGTTAACGTCGATGTCGATGAATATTTCTGAAGAAATCATAGAATAAAAAATTCATAAAAATTTATCTAAATTAACAAACATTTTATCAATATTCATGAAGTTTCATCTTATGTCCACTTAAATAGAATAGCCTAGTTATATTATAAACCCTTGTTGGGTCATTTATTTTTCTAGGTAGAATCCTATTAACATGTTCACTTAAGATGGAGTCTCTTTTGGGTTCCCCGATCTTAGTTGGATACTCTTTTTGGATTGAATGCTCATTTGAACTTTTGGACTATGATATCATATCAATATTCATGGATTTCCATCTCAAAACCAATTAGATGATCAGTAACTCATGTCTCAATATCGTAGCTCTTTTGGCTCATCGATCTTTCTCATATCATATCAATATTTATGCATTGTCAATTGGTTTTGAGAGGCATGTTAAGCATCTTATGTTGAAAAGATATGAGACCTAACAAATGTTCACAAGAGACATTAGCTACCTTTCACTTTTTTAATTAAGTTAAAATTTATTATTTATTTATATTATGTCTACGTTACTGATATTTCGTTGATATTATATTACATTTTGTCGATTTTTTGGTTTTTTCTTTTACAATGCTATGGAAATGTTAATTCACTCTTATATGTAGATGTCGAACCACTCATATAATTATAATATGAATGTAAATGCGTCCCAAGGGATAGTTTGGGGCCTCAAGGAATAATCTTGAGGTCTTGGGTTGGCCCCAAAGCATATTTAACAACTACAACGAATTCCATAAGTTTGAAAGATAATCTCGCTCAATTAAAAGTTTAAAGGTGTCATTATTATTATTTTTTTTTAATATTCATAAGTGTTTCAGCCAACTTACATCATTTTAAATATCTCACGGAACAATCGATTAATCCTAATTCCTAAGATATGTGACCATCGTGGAGTTTCAATTCATTCTCTCTCAATTTACCCTAGCATCCTTTCGACTCCATGATGATCTAAAGATGCCATTACGAACTAAAGCAAGAAAATTGTCTACCACCTAGTAATTACATAAATTATTTTGTACGGCTTATTTTTTAGCCATGAATTTTACATTATTGAATGACACACTAATAATATGTTATATTTAGTAGGTTACTACTATTAGTTTGTTTGACACTTACTTTGACATGCTAACAATAGTTGATCTATATATCATGTGGGGCTAATTTGATCATGATCCTTAAACAATACTATTAATATACAGACGTAAACGTTAAACTCAAAATCAATGATATAGATTTGTGAGACACAAAATTTAAAATTCGTGAACTAATAAAAAATCTAGAAATTCATAAATCGAACCTATAATCTAACCTCTAAATCTAGTTAAAATTTAATAATGCATCCCTAACTTTGTTGTTTCCTCGAGCTACCATTCTTTAATAATTACCAAACTGTTTATAGTTTAATTGTTACGATGAAAAGATTGGAAGTTCGAATCCTCCCAAGAAAATCCCTTTGAACGGGCACGTGCAGCTGCCTATATAAGTTAAGAACTCTTCACGTTTTAGATTTAGCCAAAAACCTACCAAGGCCACATAGTAGTAGCCAGCCATGGCTGCTCCAAAGCTCACCTTCTTCTTCCTCCTCTTCATCTCCTCCTCCATTTGTTTTGCAGAACTCTGCAACCCAAATGACAAAAAAGTCCTCCTCAAAATCAAAAAATCCTTCAACAATCCCTACATCCTCACCTCATGGAAACCCGAAGAAGACTG